GGTGTTTTTTTGTAGCACAAATTGCTGAAACAGCTGACTGAATGACACATTATTCGATTCAGTTTCTGACGCTAATCACGAATATGGGCTTGGTTTCGCTTTAAAATACTTTCTTCAAGCCAAAAAAATGCAAAATACTGTTCTAAAAATTTAATGATTTTTGCGTGATACGAAGACAATGCTCGAACAAGCGGGCGGCAAAAACAGGATTGCTACGAATTAAATTAACTATTTCAACGTGGGAATATTCTTCTTTGACGCATATCGAATTATGTCTGGCTAAAGCATCTAAATATTTTTTCCAAAACATATCAGCACAACTAAGAGTGAGGAAAAAAGTTGGTATGTTTATTTGTCGGATATAACCAAATAGATCTTTCATGGTATGCTGCCAGCACCGTGGACTACTTCGGATGTGTTGCAGATGTCTATAGATCATATCGTTTTTCCTGAGGTGCGAAAAAGTTTCATCTTTCACGACCTGGCCTGCAGTAATGCGCTGTTTTCTCGGAAATTGTTTTCTCAGAACAACTCCTGAATAAGCTCTTTTAAGATCGTTCAGATACTGAAGGAAAAAGATATACGGAGGATCTGCGGCAAAGCGTGGTTCGTTACTGAACAATCGAGTATTACAATATAAAGAAAACGAAAGATTTCTATCACGCGGTTCATTATAAGTGCCGTGGCCGTCGTGGAAAAGGTGTGAAAATGCTTTAGATTCAATTGTTCAATCTTTCAGAAGAGATAATGGGTCTGCAATTTCACTGTTATTACCACTGTCAGAATCACGGCCGCAATTCACTTCTTTGTTTGTAACATCTTCCTCTGTACTTTTAGCGTTGTCTTCTACAGCCGCTTCTATACTATCCGTCTCTATCATGGTCTACAATTTCTGCAATATTGATCAGCAATTTTTCATGGTTATTCTCATTACTGATAATTGGATCGTCATAATCAAGTGATAAAACGCTATCTGTCAATAATGAATGATGAGCTAAATAGTCATCGCCTATTTCACTAATTATTATATCACGATAGTCATCTCCCAATGTTTTATAACGTTTTTTTCACTTACAGTACGTTGTCTAGAGGATCTGTTTTACTTCTAATTCTTAAATCTGTAGTTTAAGACAACTGAAAGCACAACGGCAGTGTAGCATTACCGCGGATTCGAAAAAGTCTGTCGACACGCCCGCAAGTCGCGCGCAGCGCGATTGCCTGTTCTATGCTCTAGTTGATTTTCTTCTTTCTTTCGTCCTTTTTTTTATGTCGACAGACAAAATGTGTTTTTGCTTGGATTCCTGTTTTTTTTGTTTCGTTTAGTCATTTGTTTTACAAAATGTACAGGACGTGATCTAGCGAAGCACACTACGTAGAAAAGTTCGGAAAACGGGAGGACAATCTCTCGACATTGAAGATTGGTCAATGCATGTTCGTTTTTCAAACGCAAGTTCAGATTCGACGTCATAAGCTACACAAGTAAAACTAAAATGTCTTTTGGACTTAGAAACTTTTTATGTATTTACAAGAGTTGTTTGTCCGGCGCCATTCTTAAGACACAGTAAGACATTTAAAAGCTGAGTAGAGATTTTAACTTCAATTTTTTAATGATCTCTTTGCCTCTGTTAATATGACCAGGGTCTGTCGACATTGCAACTTGTGCGCAGCACAATTGCTTTCTAGTTTTATTTTCTTCATTCTTTTGTCCCATTTTTAGGCAAAATGTGCGCCTCGCGATCTAGAGAACTACGAAAGCTAGAAAAGTTGTGGAAAAGGTAGGATATTCGATAAAGGTAGGACATTGGAGATTGATCAATGTACGTTCTTTTTTCAAAACTAAGCCCAGGTTCGGTGCCATAAGCTACACAAATAGAAATAAAATGTGTTTTGGGCTTAAAAATTTTTCGTACATTTATAAGAGCTGATTGTCCGGCGTCATTTGTTCTTGAGACGAAATGTCAAATAAATATATCTCTATTGATTTGATTTACTCAAGAGTGAGAGAAAGAAAAATAATTTCTCTCTTTTTCAAATTCCATTTATCGTTCTTTTATCTTATAAGCAGTTCAATAATGTTTCATTAACGTATTGAAAAGCCTGTTACAGTGAAGATAAACGAAAAGAAGCAACAACAGATTTGTTATTTGAAGTGAGAATGAATACTGAAGATACATAAACTCATTGATTATTGAACCTATTTGAAATACTCATAAACAGAACAAAGAAGAAATATTTATTTTCGCTATACGATATTTATTGATCCTTCTCTCTTAGGCATTTGAATCTTGAGAAAGTCCCTACACCTACATTGTCAAAGCCGTCTATGCATTACTGTTGCCACTGATTGATACTGTGAAAATGTACTTCTTGAATATGTTCAAATAACGTTCGAACAATCCACCTACCACACATCAACCCAATCATCTCATGCCTACATGCACCATCCACTTCATACTAGTTTAGATTAAAGATGATTTCAAAGTATTAATACATACTAGTTTAGCTACATGTTAATGAAAGAATGAAACTTTCTCTCTCTTTCTTCTTCGAATTTCGTTTTCAATTAATTTTTCTAAAATCTATCTTTCAAAGCAACTAAAATCACAAAGGATGTGATGTGGTGAACTTCCTATTGACCGCGGACAGTTTCTGCAGATTCAGATTGGATACAGTCTGTCGACATCGCAACTTGTGCGCAGCACAATTGCATTCTAGTTTTACTTTACTTCTGATAAACTTAGATCTTTTTTAAAAACAAGATCCGTCCCCTTCTCTCGAATTCAAGTAGTACTTTAGTTTAAGAGTGATTGATCAAACTGTATTGAGCAGAATTCTAATAAAGGCTAATATTTTTAAGAAATGTATAAGTTGAACAAGAAAACTGTAAAACAGGTGATGAATTAGGTGATGGAACTGATAAGGAAACCAAAATGCAAAATGAGCAGTGAGTAATTTAACCTTCTATACGGAATTCCTTTAGCACAATAGAAACTCAAAATAATATCTACACAGCAGTGTAGTAATTCATTGTGTTATAAATCATATAAGCACCTGTTTGATGCATCTCAATCTACCTTTATTTAATTATCTATTGTGCGCGCATGAGTCATAAGATAGAAAAAAGTTGACTGTTTCCAAAATATGTCAACAACCACGGATCAGTTAAATTTTCGTCTGTTGAAAGAGCACATCCACACAATATATTGAATATAAAGTGTGAAGGAACCACATTGATCCGATGAACCGTTGATAGAGAAGCGCGCGTGACAAATTTTATTCTTGGCTAAAAGCTTAAGCTGAATTCGAGCTTTAGCTGCGAGACAGGGTAAAAAAGAATGTTAAAAATGATTAGTCCTTTAGAAGTTCATAATGCACATTCAGTGCGTATTTTGACTTTTTCGAAGGTCGAGGGAATAATGTTAGATTTCGCTTATAATGAGTTACGAAACATTGTACTTTTAGACTCCAGTCAATAAAATAAATGTCAAGTCATCGAGTCAGACATATCCTCTTATAACGTAACTGTAGAGAACGTCAAGAGGGAACTCACTGTTGTATTGGATGTTAATAAAACTTTTTATTTGTTAAGTAGATCACAAAAATAATGACCGCATGTTGTCAACGTTACATTTGTCATTATAAAACTATGTCAAAACACACTATATGAAAAGTCAAACAGGGACGTATATATATACTGATAATGAGTCTTATTATCTTATACAAATTTATACTGAATATTGTAAACTTCTTCTCTACTAACCGAATTAACGAGGTTTGAAATAAGATTCTAGCTATTTAAGCATCTCTCGAATTAATCTCAAACGTGTATCATCATTATCATCAAAATTGTATCAACTTGTATAATACTTGATGTATCCAAATCAAGAACAGAAACAACAAGAGGTTTACATCAATCAGACACTTCCGGCCACTAATGCTTATTACACAAATTCTGTACTAGGACCTTCAAATCGAGTTGCCGTTCCTGTTTTCATTCAGCAACCATGGCGACAGAATACACATTGGCAAAATAAATGGCCAATTTGGCCATCAGTTGTTATTGCAATACTTCAATTATTGCTTACAAACAGCATTCTTGCTTGTGAAATTGGAATTGTCGTTGCTGCTGGAGTAACTAGTATTTTTAACGATCGTGATGGAATAACTTATACATTTGCCGGTTTCTGGTGCTCATGTTTTTTTATTTGTTCGTGGATATCATTATTCGGTCATGGTAAGACTTCTGAATGTTTTCACAGTGCATTGCAATAAAATTTAGTACAAAAGACTGTAGATTTATGCATCATCGTATGGAAGCTTTTAGTATGCCATAATTTTTCGGAATTAAACTAAAAACTATTAATTGTAGAAAAATAGTTTAAGAACTCGCTTAAAATAGAAGTGTATTCTCATTTGTATCTGTTATATTTCGATTTATTCTCATCTCATCGTTTTATTTCATTTCTCGTAGTCTGCTGCTGTCGAGCTCGTGGTGGTGCAACAAATGCTTTAGTTTGGAATGTCCTATCACTCATATTTTCAATCGTCTTGTTGGCACTTACGACGGTGTTACAACAAGATATAAGTGACCCATTTGACTTTACTCATAACGTCGATTTAGGAAATATACTGTGTTACATTCAGATTGCAAATGTAAGCAGTGAATATATATATATATTTATTTATCTACGAAATAAATCAGCCTTATTTGAATATTTTTTTACCTTCTTATCTTTAGGCTGCAGTGTTTATGGTTACAACAATTGTGTACATTGTGCTTTATACTGTTTATTCGATTATAATTCCTAAAGGTAAAATTGAACCTGAACAATCATCAGTTATGTATGTTGTATCCGATGCCAGACGGTCATGAACCGACTATAATCCACATCCACTGTAATCTAATAGTGCAATAAATTGATTAGCAAAGCCAAGTTAAACCAGGCACAGCGTGATCTATAATAAGAACTAAACACACCCGTCATCTTCCCTTATTTCATCGGAAAAATTTTGCTTACTTTTTTGCTAATGATAGTTCAAATATCCGTTTAAACAAATGAATAGTAAAATTGTACACTCATATGAAAATAATAAAAGTAAAATTAAAAAAGTTTTAAGCCCAAAAATTTATGCTTTTTCTCTGATCAGGTGGCATATAGTCTATATACGGTTTGGAATGTTCTGTGTTTTCCGCTTTGTTCAAATTAAACTATAAACATTATTTTGTGCTTTGTGAAGGTACGAGACTTAGAAGGTGCTCGACTTAAACAAGGTTGAAAAGACCGAAAACAGTCTAGAGTAAACCGAAATATGGCAGATACAAACGAGAATACACTTCTACTTTAAGCGAGTGCTTAAACTATTTTTCTACAATTAATAACTTTTAGTTTATTAAAAAAACATTATGGCATACCAGAAGTCAGATCGCTTCCATACAAGAGCTTATGCATAAATCTACCGTCTTTTGCACTAAATTTTATTACAATGCATTGTGGAAACATTCAAAAGTCTTACCATGACCGAACAATAATATCCACGAACAAATAAAAAGACATGAACACCAGTAGTCAGCACATGCATAAACTCATGATCGAATAAATTACCATGCTGATTCTCACGGCTATAGTTTGTTTTTCGGTAAAAGCGTACTAAAATAACTCAAAATTAGCTATTTCTTCTTATGTGTTCGAATTAGTGAAACAAAAAGAGTTTGTGTTTGAGCAAACTATGTGTGAAAGAGAGAGTATATTTCTGATGGTTTTAAGTTCCACTTTTTGACGGTAGCTAGGGAATAAGATCTATGACGTTATCGGCTCATTTGAATGAAAAATAGCTGTAGAAATCCCGAAAAACGTGTAAAAAATGAGGTTTGGAGAAAAGAGTATTTTTTTAACAAGATTTTTAAGAATCAAATTTTTGCTTTATAGTGTTGGTTTTATTGTTAACATTGATGAATTTACCATGAAAATTCCGCTTAAAAATGGAATTTAAGATCTATTTCTAGTCCAGAATATGCACTTCAAAAGTGAAAAAAATCACTCAAAGTTAATTTTCCCAATTTTCAAAAGATACTAAAATTCTGTATTCACAGTTTTGTACCTGAGTGTAAACGACATTCATATTACAAGATAAAACGTATAAAAGAGAAATAGATACCATTATTTTGTGATAAGAATCATCTATTGAAATTATACATTCTTGTCAACATAACAATCTATACAGAAATCTTTTCACTATTTTAATAATTTATTTTTCCTACAATAACAAAAGGTAAAAGTAGAATAAATGGAAAGGTAACCTTATCTTATTTTTCCATCAACATACATTAAATTATTACTCGTAAAATGACATTAGTAATAAAGACAAAACGTTACACAAAAAATGACTGTTGTTATCTACAGTGAAAAAATATTTGCTGTTTTCATCGTGTGATTTTACACATATTATGATATATTATCCTATGATACCCCCCAAATTCAGGTCTCTGACCTACGAACAATAAGCTTCTCGTTTGGAAGTAATACAGAGTGGTTAAAACGTTTCCCATAGTTGTATACATGCATAATGATAATTCATTGTCGTTAGCATTTAATATTCCGAAGAAATTACGATCTCTACTTGATTTAAATATTGTATTAGCTAAATATTTATGGCACAGTTTACTTGTCTGAAGCACTATTACAAACGCCAGATACAACAAAATTAAAAGATGAACTGTTGGAAGAATATCGAACAAGATACGCTTACAACACAACAGAATTGAAAAAAATTGACTAGTTTTCTAAAACTATTCATCTGACAAAGCCATTGAACGGTGTAGTCGTGATTCATTTGTTTATCGTTTGGTAAACGATGTATTTCGTCTGTTAGATATTGATCTCATATTTAAATTTAAATTGTTTTTCACCGATCTTTACAGTATGAGAACAAATCACTTGAAGATTGAAATGGGTTATGTATGAGAAAATAATTCGATGATAGCGAGGGCTGGAGGAACATTAAAAACCAAATTCATGTATTGTGACTTCGAGAAGAAAGAACTTAAGAGAACAAATAATACGAATTCGTGTTACGTAGAATTTGAATATCGTCGCATAATGTATGAAATCTGTTTCGAATATAGAAAATCTAGTATGGAAAAGTCTTTAAATGAACAAAAACTGAAACTTTAAGCGAAAATTAAATTGAAATGTTGTTCGGTGACTGTCATCACTCCAGTGTTTTTACGACTTCAGATCTAATAATTGATAAGATTGAATTGAAACTTGTCAGCTTTTTCTGTTTTTAGACGCTAAAATAGTCGTGGCGATTTTAAATCTGTAACATGTTTGGATTGTGACATCTTATCTATGCTCTCTAGCTCTTTTCATTCTCGAATTATTCAGAACGCATCCGAGAATGTCTTATTACAAAATGTAGTACGACGAAAAGTATAATATTACAACTGATATAGTTAAAAGCGTGTATTGTGAGCAACCACCACAATTCCAGTGATTACATAACGATAACGTTGAGGTGTTCAGATGGCAAAGCAGTTTACTCTGTTGTTAGGTATTGCATTTATTTCCGACTTACAGAGTCATTTTTCCATCTGTAATGTCGCACCTATTGCGACTAATATATGTGTGCATGTGTGTTTTACTTTGTCTTTCTGAAATATTTCGTATTATAGAAAATATTGCAGACGATTGCTATTGTAGCGTAATACATTATAAAAGCATATATTAATTTCTAACGGATTTTGTTGAGAAAAAAGTCATTATTTGTGAGTGTGATAGCATCTGCCTGGAACAGCTAAACCGTTGGATTTGCTCAACTTTCAGGTGAAAGAGTCTGTTTTAAGCTCTTGGTTCTGAGTTTACTTGTTTTTGTTCAGATATCCGAGACTTTTTCTACATTAGACTCTGCTTTTTTCAGTCAATCGGTAGAATATCCAATATTTTCCAGTAAAAAGGAAGCCGTCTGCATTTTGGTGTATCTTTGTTGGATGCTGTCTTATTAGTTCAATGCTGAATCGATGAAACTGTAAAGCAATCCGGAATAAACGCTACAAAGTGGTACATGTTTCCTAGAAGGTGAACTTGAGTATTAGCTTAAGCATCCTGGAATTCTCCGCTAAATTCGGTAGAATCTTGTTGCTAAAGTTTTGCTTATCGCATCTGTCAGGCTAAAAAATATTTTCTAAATCGAGAACAGCACTCATACACGTACTATGAGGCGTTATTACAAGAGCCGTCTCTTTTCTGTTTCTTTTTCGGACAGTTTCGTTGCTGGACATTGTAGTCTGTCTGTTTTAATCGCCTAAAACCGATGCTAATAAGCGTAAGTAATCTTATTATTAGCTGACAGGTACTCATGGATTGAATATTGACAAAATAATTATCAACGAGCACACAAATCAAGTTTTTCTGAACTAATCTGACAATGTATAACGGTGCGTACAAAAGTTGTTTTGTTGTCTTTCAATATATGTAGGAGTTTTCTCTTGATTGCACCTTAGCCTTATGTTCAAAAATTACTTTTAATACATTCAAATTATTAGCCATTGCTGCGTGATGTACCGGTCTTGAGCATTAATATCAGCACCATGTTGAATTGATCACTTCTTAAATTTCGTGCTGCAAAATGAAGTGGTGTCCTTTGTAAATAACCTTGACTGTTGATGAGAAGTGTTCGACAGATACTAGCATTTCGTTTCTCAAATGCCAAATGAAGAACAGTTGGATTGTCAATTGAGCACGAATTAATGTTACAACCAAGTTGAACTAACAATTCTAGGAAAGATATTACTCGATTATTATTATTGAATTTCGTTTCAGTACAAAATTTGTGGAGTGGTGTATGACTCACATGATTATGAGCATTCATATCGGCACCATAATGTTTAAGAACTTTTATTAGACAAATATTTCGATAATCCATGGCTGCATAATGTAATGCCGTTTGACCTTGATTATCGGAAATATTTGGATTAGTTCCATGAAATAAAAGTAAATATGCTAGTTGTGTTAAATGACTATCTTCCTCTGGACATTGACAAGCTAAATGAAGTACTGTTTGACCAGAATAATTTTGAATATTTAATGTTTCATTAGCCCCAACATCTAACAGATACCGAACAACGATAATCATTTGTTCAAACGTGTAGTGTATACCTGTCATTATTACTAAATATTGTAACAGAGTATAACCAAGAGTGTCCTGTTTATTAACGTTTGCTCCTGCATCGAGTAATATTTTAAATAAATTCAACTTACTCTTCATGGGACGATTATTTGTCAAATAGAATAATGAAAATATTGACGTTTCACTATTTAAATTTTCTATGTTAACATCTGCTCCATAAGCTAGAAGCAATTCGATAATATTTTGTTCCACTTGTCCCATTTATAGAACATTAAAAAGTAATGTATTTTGTGTTTCGTCCATAATCATATTCGTATTAATACGATTTGATTCAAGACAACAGCATATAACTTGAAAATTTTTCTCTTCAATAGCGACACATAATACATAATCGAGTATATGATTATTCTCCAGTTCATTTGGAGCTAATATTTTATTGATAAATTGACAAACGGTTTTTATCATTCTTTTTTGATGAGCAATCGATAATAATGTGCGTAATTCAGATATTTTGCTATCACTGCTATATTTTATGCCCATGATTTGGATAAGTTTTAAACACAAGATTTAAGAACCGTTTTGAAGAAAACATTTATCTGATCGAATAAAATTAATATCCTAAAATGATATGCTTTCTTTTCGTTTGTTTTTCATTTCCCTGTTAAAATCTTGCTTCAGGTAATTTACATATTACATGTTTTCTATAATAACTTTATTAAGGTGCACGTAAAGCAAACTTCGAGTGAAATTTTTTTTGTGCTTTATTATACATATTCTGAATCGCCAGATCGAGCTGATCACGAATATCACCTTCCCAGCTCGAAAAAGTGAAATTTTGATGGAGAAAAATGCGAAGTATTGAGAATAGGTCGAAA